TGAAACCAAAATGAGATAGATAGATAGATAGATAGATAGATAGATAGATAGATAGATAGATAGATCGATAGATAGATAGATTCATATACCGTTCCGTACATACATGCAAACGAAAGATTTGATAAAGATACGGTTAGCTGAACAAATAGATACAATTCGATGATAAATACCTTTACAGATTTATTTCAAACATACATCGGGTTCGCCTCGTTTGTCGCATTTCCTGAAATTGTCAACTTGCAAACATTTCCTGAAGAAAAAAGATCGCTTGTTTTCTGAATTTATTCCGCTTGATTTAATTCTGAAATCACCGAATCGTATGACTTACACTGACATTGGTAAAGTTCTTGAAAGAATGAATAAGAAGAATAAAAGATGCGGAGAAATTAGCAAAAGGACACAAAATGTGCAGAGGAAAATCTCCGTATATGACTACGCAACGACAGAAACCAGATTGGTTTAAATATGTAAAACCATGTTTTTATTGCAGGTCGATTGTTCTTGTATGGCTTTTCTTCCCAAAGGTACTCTCTTCGGCTGAGCAAATTTATACAGATCATTTTGCTTAAAATACATTTATGGGTTACTATTTTTAGTTTTTCAATGTTTTTCTTTCTGGAAATGATTTCTTTTGCAAAGATGTTAGTTGTACAAACGTGTACATTCAAAGGTACGATTCATACTAAAATTTACTGAACTAAAAAAAATATATATATATATATATATATATATATATATTTCTCCTATCGATGTATCTGCATTTTCTTAAACATAACCACGCTTTCTCCCTTATATTTCCCTAATACACACACACACACACAGGCACACACGCATATACACACACACACACACACACATATATATATATATATATATACATACATATATATGTATGTGTGTGAACTTACACACACAGACATATATATATATATATATATATATATATATATATACACATATATATATACATATATATATACATATATATTATGTGTGTGTGTGTGTGTTTACACACACACACACACACATATATATATATATATATATATATATATATATATATATATATATATGTGTGTGTGTGTGTGTGTGTAAGTTCACTTAAATTAAAGTTCAGTGAACTTTGAATATAAATTTTCGTCTTTTCCCCGACGTTGAAGTTTCTTGGCAATCCATTTTCAGAGGGTTCTGCTTTTTAAAATATTTTTCCAATTTTTTTCAATTCATTCCGCGTCTTGTTTAATCCGTTTTATTCGCATTCATGAATTTAACGTTCCTTTTCATGCACCCGTTCATGAATATTTACTTTCGTTTGCGCTTTCGATTGTATGTGCCATTATTTTTTTCAGTTGTAATTAATTTTCGCCCGAAATTAAAGCAACTATACGAAGTTTAGAACGGCTCCTGATCAAACCTTATAGACATTCGTTGTCTGTTATACTTAACAATACATATTTGAATAATTATCTGGCACTGGGTACTTCGAGTATAAACATCATGAGCAATAACTGAGCAGTACGTAATAAATAAAAAAAATAGACGTGATACCCCAAGATATGGTATTGGAACGAGAATAATATACCCTCTTCGATTTAATAAAGGGTTTAATTCGAATTTCCATAAATGTTATACAGATTGAGTAGTATCTGCTCGAAGCCGGTGTGCACAACAACTCAAATGTGATAAAAACAACAAAGATGAGGCCATTAATATAAACAGTCTTCTTTACACTATCGGAAGCGAAAAAGATAAAACAACAAATTATCCTGAGTAATCAGCATGATTATATACCTCTTAAAGAGATGCAGACAAGGTCGTGCTTACACGTCAGTCAGCCATTTGTAGCACTTATCGCTTAGGAGCTAAAATACGAGCGTGCCCTGTATCCACAACCAACATCATTGGATAATAAATGAACTAATGCTTTTTCTAATTGTAAGTTATAGGCTTTTAATTTTCTAAACTGGAAAATCGATCAAAAATATAAATTTGGAAAGCATACAACTATCTCAGTACAGTATTTACATTAGTCGGACTATTGTCCTCATCTTTGTCGCCATATTTGTCACAACGTTTCGGCCGTTGTACGCTCCGGCCTTCTTCAGGTGGTAGGAATTTCGAACTGAACCCTTTATTTCGATCACTGGGGTAGACTGTTCTAGTTCCACGTGCCATGTTTGATGGATGTCAGTTATCAGTTATCTCCTGCTAATTTTCCCTCTGAAAGTTCTCCACTGCCTTAACCAAGAATTGAACTCACCTTCTTTGGGTCTGTCACTGGATCTAACCTACGCCTTTATCCACTGTGCCATGTGTCCTTGAGGGAAAATTAGCAGGAGATAACTGATAACTGACATCCATCAAACATGGCACGTGGAACTAGAACAGTCTACCCCAGTGATCGAAATAAAGGGTTCAGTTCGAAATTCCAACCACCTGAAGAAGGCCGGAGCGTACAACGGCCGAAACGTTGTGACAAATATGGCGACAAAGATGAGGACAATAGTCCGACTAATGTAAATACTGTACATAATACCTCATCTCAGAAATATAGACAGATACTGAAAGGCCGAAAAGTTGTAATATATATGGTGACAAAGATGAGGTCAATAGTCCGAATAATGTAAATAGTGTACATAATACGTCATCTCAGAAATATAGACAGATACTGAAAGGCCGAAACGTTGTAATAAATATGGCGACAAAGATGAGGACAATAGTCCGAATAATGTAAATAGTGTACATAATAACTCATCTCAGAAATATAGACAGATACTGAAAGGCCGAAACGTTGTAATAAATATGGCGACAAATATGAGGACAATAGTCCGAATAATGTAAATAGTGTACATAATAACTCATCTCAGAAATATAGACAGATACTGAAAGGCCGAAACGTTGTAATAAATATGGCGACAAAGATGAGAACAATAGTCCGAATGATGTAAATAGTGTACATAATACCTCATCTCAAAAATATAGACAGATACTGAAAGGCCGAAATGTTGTAATAAATATGGCGACAAAGATGAGAACAATAGTCCGAATGATGTAAATAGTGTACATATTACCTCATCTCAGAAATATAGACAACCTATCTCAGTAGTTTGTGTATAGTGATAATTACTGAGTCCAGTGCTGTCCGACGAAAGTCTACAGTGATTAAAATGATAATAGAAACGTTTTTAGGGCTAATCTTCCAAGTAAACGTGGAAGACATGCATTGAATATCAAGCGATCGAAATTAGTGCCATTCCGCCGAAGATTTTGACCCCCCCCCAAGTGTAGTTGGCAATTTAACAACTAATCCGAACAGCTTCAAATACGAGACAGGCCTAATTGCAAATATTATATAACTTTCTACAGCAGGGATGCTCAAAGCTAATGCGACTCTTTTCAGAGGAATTCTTGCATTTGTTATATCCAAGTAACCCAATGTCCTTTCTTTTTAAGTTCTAATTGAAAGAGACAAACCTTAAAGATATAGAATCTATTGACAATTGCAAAACAAACATTCGTCTTTCTCCCAGACAAACACATTCCACTCTTAGCCAAAGGCCACAGGCAGAGTACTGCATCTGATTTTAAAAATAAATTATTTAATACCTAAGTAGACGAAAAGTAATAGTTGAATTTAGTCTCTTATTGTCTGCAAAGATACGAACATTAATTTTTATCTATGTTTAATCTCTCAATATGCTAATTTCCAAGAGATTTCTCTTGTAAAATAACTAGCAACGCTTGGTTCGGGTTTGTTTTTAATTTTCATTAATGACCTTCCCGATGGTATCAGCTCTCAACTTACTATCTATGCTGATGATTCATTTACTCCTGTCTCGATAGTAAGTCTGATCAGTTTGTTAAAGTCAAATTTGCGGCTGATCTTAACAACAACATTCAGTCTGTTGTTAACTAGGGCAAAAACAATGGCTTATTAATTTAAACGCCTCCAAAATTAAAATGCTAACCTCCAGGAAAATGGTCCGTTGTACCTTCCTGGGCTAACGTTCTAGGCTGGCATGTAGAGGAAAGTCTATATTGAATCCATTGCTAGGTCAGCTGCTAAAAATAGTTGGTTCATTGTCCTTCTAGATAACTTTTTTTCCCTCCTGAACGTAACTTACATATTTATAAGTCTACCATTCGTCCATGTTTATCATATTGCAATCATATAGTTTTTTTTTTTGTTCCTGTTGTATATCTACATGACGCAATGGATAAATTGCCGTCTAAATGACGCAAAAATTAGAAAAATACCGACATCTCATATCAACACATATATATATATATATATATATCAAAATTACACAAAAATATCTTTCTTACACTTTCATAGTGTTTTGATCCCGGTTTGGGTGTTAATTATTTGCCCACAACTGGGACGCTAACAGGTGATACCACCCCGGATCAGGGTGAACCTGGTTCCACTCTCCTGAAAACATCCTGATCAGGAGCCTTGCTGCCGGATGTAGTTTTTCGTCATACCCAGGACGTCTCATTGGGGGTGGCGGTCTTACTCATCTGCAGAGGTGTATTTGTCGTATTCGGAAGCCTCGCTGAACAGGGTACCCTTAAATTTTCTCCACGTCGCTGAACAGGGTACCCTTAAGTTTTTTCCACCTCGCTGAACAGGGTACCCTTAAATTTTCTCCACCATCCTAGCTCGCTAGGCAGGTTATGAACTGTTTTCATCTGCGCCCACCCCCCTGTCTTCAATCTGTCCTTGCTCACATGTCTACTCACGGAGTATACTCGGCATCCTTTAGTAGAACCAGATTACTGCTACTTCAAGTTTCTTCTTCATCTTTGGGGAGATTGTCTAGCATTCACTGACATATAAGACGATCATTCTTCTTTTCTTTATTTCTAGACAATTCTTCCTATTTTTAAATAGTATGCATGCATATACTAGCGCCAGTCTCTCGCTATTGTCAGCGCTACTTCCGGAACGCTAACAACAACTTCCGCTTTCATAACTGAATGTCGACATTCGAGGCATTATGTACGTTTGGTTCATACCGACAAATCTTGAGTTTGTCTTTGAAGAAATTATCGATGGCAAAGCGGGAACATCTCTTCAATACAACCTGAACTGCGAAAATAAGAACGAAACTTTGCTTAAGTCTTTCCTTCTTTCTTATAGAGTCGGGCTTTAAAATATAAATAAGGTTTTCTTTTTCTCCTGCAGCTTAAATGAGCCTTGCAATTATATGTCACCATGAGATCAAATATGATGTAATGACTTATTTAATAAATTGCATTTAGCGAGTGTTTTTTTTATTATTAGTTTTTAAATATAAATGTATTTTATATGAACTAAATGAATGAACGGCAAACAGAAAAGCCAGGTGGGTTAAAATAGAACCGGCCATTTTTATAGGAAAAGAAAAACAAAAAAAAAAAAAAGAAGATAAACAAGGAATTATGAGAGTAAACCTTTCTTGATTTTCAGCTTTAATCTTCTTATATATTTTATATACTTGTGTCACTAACTTTCTCTCCTTATTCCTTTTTCGTTTCTTTCTATTTTTCTTTCTTTTTTCTTTTTTATTTTGTTGTTAATTTCGTTTTTTAATATCCAGTTGTCAAATAATTTTATTACTTTTTTCCAATATTTATGCCTTTCTTTTATTATTTGGTATTTTTCCTTCCTTCCTTCCTTCCTTCCTTCCTTCCTTCTGTCTATACCTCATTCCTCTCCTATAACATTTTCTTCTTTATTTGACATCTCATTCTTTCCTTCCTTTATTTCTTCTTCCCTTCCTTCTTCCCTTCCTTCCTTTCGATCTTCATTCGTTCGTTTCTTTCTTTCTTCCTACATTTCTTTCATTCTGCCTTCCGACTTTTCTTTCTTCCTTCTTTGCTTTCATTCTATCCTTTTTCTTTCCGTACTTCGCCTTTTTCTTTCTTTCTTTTTTCTTTCTTTCTTTCTTTTTTCTTTCTTTCTTTTCTTTTTTCCTTCTTTCCTACATTTCCTTCTTTCTTTTTTCTTCCTTCTTAATTTCTTTCTTTTTCTTTCTTTCTTCCTTCCTTCTGTTCACTCTTTCTTTCTTGCTTTCTTTCTTTGTTTCTTCCTTCAGTCCTTACTTTTCTTCTTCCTTTTTTTCCTTAATCCCTTTCTTTCTTGCTTTCTTTCTTTGTTTCTCGCTTCTTTCCTTCCTGTCTTTCATTCTTTCTTTCATCCGTTCTTTCTTTCTTTGTTCCTTCCTTCCTTCCTTCCTTCCTTCCTTCCTTCCTTCCTTCCTTCCTGCCTGCCTGCCTGCCTATCTTTTCTTTCTTTCTTTCTTTCTTTCTTTCTTTCTTTCTTTCTTTCTTTCTTTCTTTCTTTCTTTCTTTCTTTCGTAATATTTACTGAAGCCTTCCTCTTCTTTCAACGTTTTATCCCTTACATTGTATTGGCTTTTAGTTTCGTTAGTATTTCGTCTTCTCTCCGGCTCACGCCCTTTGCAATCATCTTTCACCCTTTGTACATCAATAAAATAATAAGCATTGAAATCTCGCTTAAAATTCGCTTTAATCTCATTGATCACAAAAGCAGTCTTCCTCTGCAGCACTTTGATCGTTCCGGCAATGATCCACAGATTTATCACAATCTATCTATGTCTGTTCTTATCTATCTATCTATCTATCTATCTATCTATCTATCTATCTATCTATCTATCTATCTATTACAGACTCTTCGAATCTATCTATCTATCTATCTATCTATCTATCTATCTATCTATTACAGACTCTTTCTATCTATCTATCTATCCATCCATCTATCTATCTATCTATCTATCTATCTATTACAGACTCTTTGTATCTATCTATCTATCTATCTATCTATCTATCTATCTATCTATCTATCTATCTATCTATTACAGACTCTTCGAATCTATCTATCTATCTATCTATCTATCTATCTATCTATCTATCTATTACAGATATTTCGTATCTATCTATCTATCTATCTATCTATCTATCTATCTATCTATCACAAACTCTTTATCTATCTATCTATCTATCTATCTATCTATCTATCTATCTATCTATCTATCTATCTATCTAGGCTTGATTTAGTTCAAAAGCATCTCCGAGTCTTTGTGGATGACGAATTACTTTCCAACCTTCAAACTCTTTCTTCAAACGACCCCCCTCACCATTCTATCGCTTCTTCCATGGATAGTTCTCGGACGAACTATATTCCGTGGTTCCACGAGTTCTAACCTTCACAGCTAGAACCCGCCATGCTACATACATTGTAGCAGACCACCCACATTCTGTCCGGATTCCATCTGTGTACGTTCTACTCGAACAGCTTCTTCCTGCCAAACGCTGATCCGTAGAACCGACTCCGAAAGATCACTACAATCTTGACCTGTTCAATTCCAGTGTTAACTTCACCTCCTGCTGCCCTTTACCTCAAGCGGCATCGGGTCTTGTACAGAGGAAATCTTACTGTAAAAAAAATCTATCTATCTATCTATCTATCTATCTATCTATATATCTATCTATCTATCTATCTATCTATCTAATCCTTTTCATATCTATCTAATTCTTTTCATTATCTATCTATCTATCTATCTATCTATCTATCTATCTATCTATCTATCTAATCCTTTTCATATCTATCTATCTATCTATCTATCTATCTAACCATTTTCATATCTATCTATCTATCTATCTATCTATCTATCTATCTATCTATCTATCTATCTAATCCTTTTCATATATATCTATCTATCTATCTATCTATCTAACCATTTTTCTATCTATCTATCTATCTATCTATCTATCTATCTTTATCTATCTAATCCTTTTCATATCTATCTATCTATCTATCTATATATCTATCTATCTATCTATCCTTCTGTTCACTCTTTCTTTCTTGCTTTCTTTCTTTGTTTCTCGCTTCTTTCCTTCCTGTCTTTCATTCTTTCTTTCATCCGTTCTTTCTTTCTTTGTTCCTTCCTTCCTTCCTTCCTTCCTTCCTTCCTTCCTGCCTGCCTGCCTGCCTATCTTTTCTTTCTTTCTTTATTTCTTTCTTTCTTTCTTTCTTTCTTTCTTTCTTTCTTTCTTTCTTTCTTTCTTTCGTAATATTTACTGAAGCCTTCCTCTTCTTTCAACGTATCTATCTATCTATCTATCGTCATACGCAGACTATCTCACTCTCTCTCTCTCTCCCTGTATATATATATATATATATATATTGTGTATATTTAGGCAACAATTTTTCATTGTTGCATGTTTCATTAAATAATATAAGACTTGTTTTTTTGTCTATTTATTTTAAGTAAGTTTCTTTTCATATTGTCTGATAAACTTAACATTATCATTGAAGACGAAAGGAATTATATATATATATATTATATATATATATAATTCATAATTTTTGTTTCCATATATTTTGTTTCCATATATACAAAAAATTATATATATATATATATATATATATATATATATATATATATATATATATATATATATATATATATATATAATTCATAATTTTTTGTTTCCAATGATACAGAGATATCCAATCAACAGTTTCTTGTTTTTGTTCGTCTTGTCTGATAAGGTAATTTAATTTACTTACTTTTGTCTTTTATTTTGACCTGAAAATACTGAAACTGTAAACATCGGCGAAACGTATGGTTAAAACGTTTTCCAAATTAACACATTGTCCATTATCTCCAGAATATTATACGAAACAAAAGTGGAGATAATGGGACAGTCTGGAAAAGTTTTTAAAAGACACACACACAAACATATGAATGGCGATTGATATTACATTTGAATAGTTGGGGATTGTAGATTATAGCTCTCAGGGAAACAGTAATTGCAAAGAGTGTTCGACAGACGAGAGGTGCGAGGTATGAAGCTTTTGGAGTAGAAGAGACGGCTACATTTAAAAGTTTCTACAGTGAAAGGGTGGGAGCAGGATGCCAGCCTCGTAGGGCGCTTGAATTCATGGAGTCTGGGAACCAGTGAAAGCAGCTCATCAGAGCAATTATCACGAACGTATTTGTAGAAAAGACAGAGAGAGGCGACGGCGCGTCTGTGAGAGAAAGACTGAAGACGAGGTACCAGATCAGGGAAGAAAAACGAAAGAATATTAATATACAATTTAATTTTTAATATTTTTTATTGTTATAATATATATATATATATATATATATATATATATATATATATATATATATATATATATATATATATTATTGTTCAATATAAATGAATATATATATATATATATATATATATATATATTATTATTTCAATATAAATGAATATATATATATATATATATATATATATATATATATATATTATTGGATTAAGTCCGGACAATTATTTATATATTTTATATATTTATATATATTTAAATATATATGATATATATATATTATGATAATGTTTTGAATGTAGCGATCAATCAAGAAAAAATCAGTTTGCGTGTTTTAAATATATTTAACTTTTATATATATATATTCAAAATCTAATCTACATGTTCTAGTTCAGACTATTTTCTATGAAATCTCTTTTCAGATATCTGTTTATTAAAAATATCTATAAATAAATCTATCTATCTATCAGAATATATATATAGTTATCTAAATCTCCCTAGTATTTTCATTATTTTTTTATTCTATAATAAATACAGGGTTTAAAAGTTCGAAATTCTAATCACCTGTCAAAACAAGGCTGTTGCGTATAACTGTCGAAATGTCATTGGATATATATATATATAAATATCTATCTAGTTCAGGACAACATTCGGAATCTATCATCTAATATCTAAATAATATACTATAAATTACAATATCGAAATTCTAATATGTAGAAGGCTGTTGCGTATAACTGTCGAAAAATATGGCAATCTATCTATCGGAACAATATAAATAATATACAATTATCTATCTCAGAAATCAATATCTATCTATCTATTTCTATTCTCCCCCTCTCTCTCTCTCTCTCTCTCTCTCTAATATATATATTAAATTAAAGAAAACAGACCATTTTAAGGCTCCATTGTGTAATAATTTATTTCATCAGAGAATTTTATTTTTCTCTGGATCTTCAGACTTCACTTTCAAAAGGTGAAACGAAAAATGAATTTAAAATTTACACTTTTGACGTGCAGTATTAAGCTTATATAAGTTGCCATAAAAGGAATGTTGTAAGAGACATGGTCGTGTTTAGAGAGGGAAGGGAAAATTTCAAAATTCATTTTGATATTTCCTTTTATTATAATATTTAATATTGAGGAAGGTGGATAAGGATCAGACATTGATCTATTTAATCAGTCAACTCAACGGAAATGATATGGGAAAAGAAAAGAGACAAAAACAGGAAAGAAAAAGGAAATAAAAGATATATATATATATATATATATATATATATATATATATATATATATATATATCAAGCGCGAAAGCCATACATATATATATATATATATATATATATATATATATATATTATATCAAGCGAAAAATATATTTTAAATCATTTAATTTATAATATTAATGCTCTGTAAATTTACATTGAGCATTATTTTGTAAAAGTAAACATATCTTTACGAACACCGGATTATATATCTTACTGCTCTTTCTTTTTATTTATATATATATATATATATACATATATATTCCTTCAAAATGTAAGTGATCAAAAGCTGATGATGAACAGTATCATCAGTCCGTTGCACAGTGACGAGTTCCCTCTCGATAATGTTCACGGTTTATCACACTGAGGCCTGGAAACATTCTCTAAGCTGTTTTTTACGTTGCTTAATCGAACTCGCTACTGCCGCTTAATGCATTTAAAAACGGAAGCAGCTAGATCGATTTCCAGATCGATCACAATTCAAAAAGCATTAAGAATGTGGGTATTCGTGTCGGGTACTTGCCACTCGACTCTGCATTAAAATCATACAAATGTGAAATACAGTCAACTATATAAGTATTAAAATATACGTGAGTGTAGTTTGAGCTATATATATATATATATATATATATATATATATATATATATATATATATATTATCAGCGAAGTCGGAGCAGGTATGCCTTAAATTGATTAAACAGTAGGGAATATAAAATTGCAGTTTTTGTTTTATTCTTTCTGTTAAATGTTCATTTTACCAATCGGTTCCTCTTGTCAGATCTCGCATATTCTGTCCGTCTAGTCCAAATACGTTTCCAATCGTAAATCATCAATTCTTTTATACTTAGTTTCACCAGGTGAGGTTGAGATAGATTTTGGAACTTTTAACGTGTGGTAATGATTTCTTGCTGTCCCGATCTTTGAGTGAATCTTTTTTTTTCCTTTTTTTTTTTTTTTTTTTTTTAAATCATTTCACTCCATGAAAGCCCATAAAGTCACCAAGACACAACGGGTTATTGAATGTCAGAAATTATATGAAGAAAAAAAACTCTATTATTGAGAGAGGACAGTAAAAGTACACGGATAAAAATAAAAGGCAGAGAACAATTGACATTGAATTTAAATTTTTGGAAAATCAAAGTTTTAAAGAAAACTAAAAAACCGGAAGTGCGTTCCACAAGCGAGAAGTGCTATAGAAGAAACTCTCAGCATAGAACTTACGGTTATATCTTGACCTTTCAAGTATAAAAAAGATGAGACCTTGCCGCCAATCTAGTGCTGCGCTTAAATTTCTGAAACCTTGCTAACATAGAGCAAATTTCATAAGAACAATTACCATTAACGTATTTATAGAAAAGACACAAGGGAATCTACTTTAATGCGATGACAAAATGACTAAAACCGAGATGCAAGGAAAGCTCGAATAACATTGCAGATTTTTCTTTGGATTTTATCAAAGGTTTCTCTATACGTATAGCCGGGGCACCAGACTATATGTGACAGTAATATTCGAATAGTAGTGTAGCTGGTCACTCGTATTCGAGGATATCTGTTTACTAGGGTGGCTAAACAATGCCTGTTAACTCAGGCACAATTGTGTTTGCTCAGCACCCACCCACAGAGCCAACCTGTGGTTTATACTACACCTATACTGAATAGACCTTAGTTACAGTTTCTGGGAAAGAGCGTGTTATCTACCGTGATCTACAATTTGAACAAGGCCACGATTACTTGTGAGTTCATGCTAGAACAGCCCAATTTCACTCACAAGGCTTGGATCAACCTGTGGTATGATATTCAGGCTTTTGCCTGATCGGCCCCGATAACCTTACTGACAAATCGACCATGGTGAGATTCGAACCCGGGTTTCATGGTCAGAATGTAAACGTTCTAACCACTCGGCCACGTGCCCACATATAATAGCAACTTATAAATATACAAGATATATTCAGCAGGAAAAAAAAAAACTGAAATCTGTCTTGCATATGTATAAGTCTAAGGCTCGTCTCTGCATCGAATAACGCAGCCTCATGTTCTCTGATGTAAATCCTTTATAAATAGATATATTTGACAACATCCAGGGATTCTCATTTTTAAATCTTTTCAATTCAAGGAAGGTAATAAAGTCACTAAGTCACAAACGGTTACTGAATGTGAAAGAATAT